AAAAAGTAAAGTCTGGGAAGAGCTAGGCGCCTCAGTGGACTCACACAGCTAATAATATAATAAGCACCTTTCATACACAGAATGCAGCTCAAGCAGCTTTACAGGAATAAATAAAAATCCAAAACACATAAAATAAATAAACAAAAACAATCATACGTGTACTTGTAAGTAATGATAAAAACAATATAAAGGTAAAAGTGTAAAATGGGTGTAAAGGTATATAAAAAAGTTATCAAGCAAAAACAGTAATGTTAAAAAAAATTAAATTAATTAAAAGCTATCAACAAACAAACAAACCTTCTTCTTGCAGTTGCATAATAGTTGCAGTTGCATAATATAAACATAAACCCAGAAATCTTGAGTACCCCAAGGTTTTATGTTAGAAATGTAAGGTATGGGATAGCATGTGAATGTTCAGTCTTCTTATTATATTTATTTTTATATATTTCTTCAGTTCTGCTTGAGTTGTTTTTTTTGCTCATTGTCACTGTAGTTACTGCTGCATGGAAAGACAGAAGAAACACAGTTTTTTATGCGTGGTTTATCATCTCAATGAGAAAGTTGATCAAAAAATCAAGTAAAAAAGGAAAAAGAAGACAAACCCACAGTATTTAACACATCAATAGTTAATGTTACCACCAATAGTTACTCTACGATTATTTCATTGTAGTGACCCCAGTCCAGATTGCATTTGACATAGTGATCTACTGAGGTGAAAAAAGTTGACCGACCTATTGAAGGCCATCCCGTTGTGTAGTTAACTCCCAAAGCATCTAAATGGGGAGCTGAATTGATCACAATAGCAAATGACCCAGAGAAACTGACTGACTTGAACCAATTGCACCCAGTTACAGGCTCAGCCCTGTCGAGCGTCTTGGCTAAGAGGTTGCACCAAAGAGAGGTTTCATCAAATCTTCTGGATGTTCAGAGAACCCAACCACAATCCCATGGCCACAGGCTCTGTTAAGGATGACAGAGAAGAGAAGCCCAGGTGGCAGCCGACGTTCATTTTTGAGCGATGGCTGCAGCACAAAGGAAACTAACGACTGGTCGGCTGCAGCCTCCATGCCACTCCAATATTGTCCAAATTGGCCAAGCAGTTGCTGAAATATTGTCCATATAGGTAATTATGCTAATTAATGTTAATCATGCTAATTGCTTACATATGCAAGTTAGCATCCGGCAGTTTCTAATTACTACTTCTTACTGCTTATTTCTTATATATACATAGAAGGGCTGTGTATTGTGTAATCTAGCAATATGATATGTATCACAATACAACGGTTACCTTTCAGTTATGATATATTGCGATACTGTAAGATGATGCAAAATGATATATTGTGATTGTAAAACTTGTAAAATTTGAAATACTTTATAAATGAGACAAAATAAACGCACTGAGGTTAACAGGTTCTCATTGTTTTTCTCTCAGTAAAACAAACTCAATGTGTCCTCACTTTATGAGACAAAATATGTGCATTTAGGAAAAGTAAAGGCTCCTCCTTTACTTCATCAGTAAAACAATGTATATACAATGTAAATATTTATAAATGAGACAATATATATGCATTTTGGTTATCAGGCTTTCATATTTGTCTCACAGTGGCGGTAACTGTGACCCCCATCTCCGTCTTACAGAATGTACGCTCACTTTTTAGGGGAATTTAGCGGGAGTTATGGATCTCATTTCTCCATCACCAACAAAACAATGTACACATTTGAAATACTTCATAACTACTTAATAATTACTTAATAAATGAGGAAAAATAATTGCATTTAGCAGGAGAAAGAAATTCCACGACCCAGTCTCTGGCCACCATATGCATACAATCTGAGTAAAAAAGTAAAAGATCTGCATTTGTATTTATCCCTGTAACATCCAACATCTCAGCCCTCAGTTTACAACACTGCTATCTAGCTGTCGGGGGTTTGAACACAAAAATCAATCGTCTTTTTGACAATCGATACAATATCACAAAACAACAATAAATGCAATATATTTCGATATTTTCTTCCACCCCTAGTATAGCCTACAGATACCTTCATGTCGACAAAAGAGTCGTAGACTCAGGTGCACACAAATTAGTCCTATTTTTAGTTGCTTTTGCATTGTTTTAGGTTAATACACAAAATTAATTACATGCACTAAAGTGGCATGTTCCACAGTTCTGCCATTGCTATGCTTTGTCTGATCTGTACTGTGTCGTATTTCACATTTATATGTGTTCCCAGATATTTTGGAAAACTTGAAAATCTGGAAATTTTGAGATACATTTTTACAGTCATGGAAACACCTGGAAATTGATTACAATGACCAAATATCCTGGAAATAATCTACATTGTCCGTCCCGCCCATATGTCTATGGTCCCGCCCCTCACCGAAACCTGAGAAGTGCCGACGCAGCAGCGCGTTGAATGAAACACTTTACGGCTACCGAGCCGGTTGACAAAATTAGCCACACAGCTGCTAACACTCGTGGGGGATCTCATGCAGTGCTCCCCACGTTCAACAGTCGGCCCGGGGGATTCGACAGTTTGTCAGTAAACAACATGGCCAAAGTAAACAGCGGTTCCTCCGGTTGCCGGGCCGTGGTGATGGCAGGAAAGTACCTGTCGAGCCCGTCTCCCCCGGCGCTGACCCGCAGCAGCGGCCAACAGCAGCGGAGGATGTTGGGGCCACAGCGCCGCACGATGAGCTCCGACGCGGCCGGCACGGGAGGAAAAACCGCGGCTCTGGCCCAGCAGGAGCACCTGGGTTATTTCTCCGCCACAGACCGTAATGTGCTGGCCAACCGGAATCTGATTTACCGGGACGTGAAGGCTTTTCTCAACGAAGTCGGTGGGGACCCCCGGGAGGCTCGGTACTGGCTGACTCAGTTCCAGAGAGCGACTTCGGCTCAGTCTCCTGCTTTTGCCGTACTGGAGGTAAGTTAAGGGATGGCTAACGTTGAATCAATTAAAAAAACTTTATAGAAGATGTTGAAACCTTTCTCTTCAGTAAAGTCACACTAACTAGTGTTTATTAAGCATTGACTTTGGTTTATTAAGATGAATATGCGGCCTATTGACGTTTCTGGATATGTATGGAAGCCCATTTAGCCCATCAAAAAAAATGTGGGTCCCATGTTGTACCAAAATAATGATAAAGTAGGCCTATTTCAATTAGCTGTTATTATTACATACTCATTCATAACAGGTCAGTCTAGAGGAAAAACCACAAATTGAATCATGCTTATAATGGATGTATGTTTTTAAAGGTCCAGTGATGAACATTTAGGAGGTGATCTATGGCAGAAATGGGAATATAATATTCATAGATGTTTTTTCGTATAATCACCTGAAAATAAGAATTGTTACTAAATCTTACACCCTGGACCTTTTTCTAAAAAATGAAAAAACAAAGTCAAGTTAACGTAGGTGGAAGCTTGCAGGTGCCAGAGTTAAAATATTACACTTTCAGTCCAGTGTGAAGGATTTGGTGGCATCTAGCAGTGTAGTTGCATATTGCAATGCACTCTCTTCACTGTATCCTTCCAGGTCCAAGTGAGAAACTACAATGCCCACGAAATGCGCAAAATATCTGAATGACCTGATCTACAGCTAGTTCTTCCATTCTGGGCTATATAGCAGTTCAACAATGGCAACTTCAACGGAAGGCGACCCGCAGCATTTGTAGATAAAAACAGCTCAATCTAAGGTAACAAAAACACAACGATTCCCATTATACACTAATGAAAACATAGCTTTGAATATTATATTCCATTTCTGACATTAGATATTCCTCAATGTTACACACTGTACCTTTAAATACTGTATATTTAAGAATTTGACAGCCAAAGCCTCCAGTATACTCTACCCTTTTAGCACTGCATGTGTAGTAATGTGCAGACAAATAGTTACATTTAGAAAATTCAGCCAGTAAACACCAGGCGTGAACACTTTTAACCCATTGTCAGAAGCAACAAACAAACTGACACTTGTCTGGTCCAACAGCTTTGCTAAGGCTTGTTGAAGTGCAGTCAAGAGATGGAAAGTTCAGTTCTCATTTGGGTCTAAATCCATCAGACCTTCCTAAACCAACAAAAAATAAGAAGAGGAAACGTAACCCCAAAAGTTAGCCACAAAAACATGACTACAAGCAAAGAAAACAAAGCCACAGTGACTTTATTAAACTGAGGAAAGCTGACAATTTAACGGAGCTTTTACAAACAAATCTGACACGAGATGGTCAACTATAGGAAAGGACTGAATAACCCCTTTTTAGAGAACTACTTCGTTAGAGACAGTGCTTACTAGCTAACTGTGTCTCTGTCTCCCAGGTGGACAGCTCAGTATTCGACAGCAGGGAAATGGTTCAGAGACTGGCCTTTGGGCTCTCCTTCCTGCAGCGGATGGATATGAAGCCCGTGGTGGTGATGGGCTGGTCTGAGTACGAGGAGACGGGGCCCAAGGTGGCAGTGCCCGGGTCTCGCTGCACCCGAGAGCTGGTGGGCCGGAGCCAGCAGCTGACGGAGGCTCTGCAGCAGCACTCAGCCACCGTCCTGCCGCTCTTCTCCGCCGAGTCCTTCCTCCTACTGCACGAAGCCCCGAGCGGAAGCAGGTGAGGGGTCGAGGCGTACGGAGTTTAATGCTGTGCAGCCATACGCTGTAGTGTCCATTCATTCACAGTTAATTGTTCAGTAAGGAGCTGACAGTATCTTCATCACTGCAATATTTGTATCAGTTTTAGGAGCATTTAAGTTTTTAGAACTGATGCAGGCATTGTAGAGTTGCCATCATTCACTGAGCCAGTAGAACTGTCACATCATCAGTATCAGTATGTGACATTTTGATGGCTTGATTTAAAAAAAATGTCTTTTTGTTGTCCTTTAGTACCTAGCTCTGTCAGATGTCTGCCCCTTATGTGTATTGGTCATTGTAAGAGTAAGCTGAACTTAATGTATAAGATTGGCCCTTTTCAAACTGTTTTAATGATGTTTTTATAGATATAGGTCCAAATCTAACTTTTATTGTGATGTATGTACCTAAAAAATACAGTTAACCCATTAACAAGTGGAAATAGCCAACGTGACACTGCTTTTCTTCCATCCTTTGATGCTCTCTTCATCCCTGTTAACCTCCCCTTCATCCCCTTCCTGCTCCTCTCCCTTGCAGTGCCCCATCCTCCGTTGCTGTGGACACCAGCCTCCTCCAGTGGAGCTTGGACTGCGGGACTATCCCGTTGGTTTGTCCGGTGGGGAGGGACGGGCGAGGTTGCTCAGTAATGTTGGACCCGATAGAGGTGACGGCAGCTATTTCCCGAGCCCTGCAACCCCACAAAGTCATGTTCCTGAACAACTCGGGAGGCCTCCGCAGCCAAGAACGCAAGGCACGACATTTGGCTATACCAGCACTTCCATATACACTGCTCCAAAAAATGAAAGGAACACTTAATCATCACGGTATAACACCAAGTCCATTAAACTTCAGGGATATCAATCTATGCAGTTAGTAAGCATAAGCGATCGTGAATCAATTTCACCTGTTTTGTTGCAAATGAAAGTGACAACAGGTGCACTGGAGAGGCAACAGCAAGACAACCCCCAGAAAGGGAATGGTTTTGCAGGTGGTGGCCACAGACAACAGCTCTCTCCTTATGCATGAGGGCCCGACATCCTCTAGTGGGATGTGCTCACAGCCCAAGCACCTTGCAGTTTGATTGGCATTCGCCAGAGAACTCCAGAATTGGCAGGTCCGCCATTGGCGTCCCGTTCTCTTCACAGATGAGAGCAGGTTCCCACTGAGCACATGTGACAGACGTGAAAGAGTCTGGAGGCGCCGTGGGGATCGTTATGCTGCCTGCAACATCATCGCGGTGGGTCAGTGATGGTCTGATGGAGAACATCTGGGATGTTGTGTATCGGTGCATCCGACGCCTCCAAGTAGCGCCACAGAGCTCACTGATGCCCTGATCCAGGTCTGGGAGGAGATCCCCCAGGACACCATCCGGCATCTCATTAGGAGCATGCCCAGACGTTGTTGGGAGTGCATACAGGCATGTAGGGGCCGTACACACTGAGTCACATTATAAGTTGCTGTGATGAAATGTACAGTAGTTGGATCAGCCTGTGATTTCAATTGTTTACTTTGATTTTCGGTGTGATTTTGAATCCAGACCTCAATCAGTTGGTGGTTTTGGTTTCCATTGACCGTTGTTACGTCATTTTGTTCTGAACGAATTACACAATGTTGTACAGTAAAGATTTTGAACTTGAATATTTTGTTCATCGAGATCCGATGTGTGATTTATTTACCTTAATTTTTTTGAGCAGTGTATGTAGTGTCCGTTGTCAGGTTTGCAAGTTTGAAAGATTGAAAACATGCAACTTTCTCCTGAACACTTTCTGTTTGTGCCACAGGTGCTGGGCACGGTGTCGTTGCCTAGCGATCTGCCCAGTTTGTCCTCAGCGGCGTGGCTGAGTACCACAGAGCGGCGAAGAGTGACCATCATAGCCCGACTGCTCAACCAGCTGCCGACTGAATCCACCGCGGTGATCACCTCCGCGGACACGCTGCTTACCGAGCTGTTTAGCCACAGAGGTGAGACTGCTGACTGACGATCCAGACCGTCTATTTTGAGGTGTAACCCAAGAGGACACTGGTCCATATGTGTGTGTTTGGGGAGCAGGTTTTGACCTCCCTACATTAATTAACATGAGTTTGCGTCTGCGTCTGATTTCTGTAACTGCTGGTTCTTTCTGTCTGGTTCAGGGTCTGGGACACTCTTTAAAAATGGAGACCCCATACACCGGTAAGTACTCATCACACATGCACTCAAATGTGTGTAATATGACCTGTAACCCTACATTCAAGTCATAATCCAAATGACCTCCTTAGAAGAGTTGAGTTGCTTTCTCCTTCAAAGGGTTTAACCTCTTCCACTCCAGCCCTCCCTACCATTTTCTTTTTAAGGGGGGGGGCGCAGGTTGTCTTTAGTGAGAGACAGCAGGATAACAGTATATACCACATAGACCATGATAGACCATTATGATACAAGTATATGATTGCTATTCCCATACTCAGTTACGTCTCAAGCCATTTTTGGGTTGATACCGTTTGTTATGCACATTTTGTGCAAAATGTAACCATTTTTGACCACAAGAAAACAGATAAAATGGTCAAAAATCCCTCCAAAATACCACATTGATACACCAGGACCCTGAGGAACACCATAAAAATGTCATGATATGATTTGGTATGAAAAACATTTTGACATTTGGGGATTTCCATAAAGCCCGGTTCACACATGGACACCTTTTATTTCGGCGCCCATGTTAAGTCACACTGCCCACCTGAGTCGTGCATCTCAGCTACACCGATGCTTCACTAGGGAGCTGCTCGCGGTTCCCAGCAGTAATGGACAGCGAAAAGGATTTGTTCAATCATATGGACAATATACCAGCAACATGTACACCTTTCACTACAGTTCCAGTGTCTGAATGTGTACAGTGTGTCAGACATGGGAAACAATATGTGTGTATGAACCCATCACCTCCTGTATGTGTTGGAGATCAACAGGTCCACTCACATGCAGCGAGGCTTTTATAGTGTGCTGTTTCTCAGAGGCACACTCAGTATAGGTAGACGGGGCTGGCAGCATGCTGGAGGTTAAACACCACCGTGCCAGACACATCCGTCACGCGCTGCTCTCGTAGGCCGTGTGATCCAGAACGCGAGGAGACATTCTGTCCGAGCTACCGGCCGCTGCGTCTGCACGCGCAGCCGTTGCCATGGAAAAGCGATTACAAGGCGCCCGGTTAGCTCAGTCGGTAGAGCTGGCGACCCAGGTAACATCACTTCACCCGTGACCAGAGGCGCCGCCAGGAATTTTGGGCCCCATGACAAAAAAATCTAATTGGGCCCATCTGCGCAGCTGTTGTCAGCACATC